CAGGAGGACGAGGCTGCTCGGGATCGCCCTCCCGCAGTCTTGACATTCGTAGGGCCTCTGCGGGCTGTGAACGGCCTGGTGCTTGAAGAGGTTGGCTCGCCGGCTGAAGGCCCTCCCACACTCACTGCACTCGTAGGGCTTCTCCCCGCTGTGCGCCCGCTGGTGCTGACTGAGACCCGAGCAGCCCCGGAAGGCCTTCCCGCACTCTTTGCACTTGAAGGGCTTCTCCCCGCTGTGGAGGCGCTGGTGGTGGATGAGCTGGGAGACGCCCTTGAAGGCTTTCGGACACTGGCTGCACGTGTAGGGCTTCTCGCCGCTGTGGGTGCGCTGGTGCTCGATGAGGTTGGAGCTCCTGCTGAAGGCCTTCCCGCACCTGCTGCACGCGTAGGGCCGCTCGCCGCTGTGGATGCGCTGGTGCTCCAGCAGCGCGAAGCTGCGCCGGAAGGGCTTCCCGCACTCGGGGCACTTGTAGGGCTTCTCGCCACTGTGGATGATTTGGTGCTTGATGAGGTTGGAGCTGCGCGTAAAGGCCTTGCCGCACTCGCTGCACACAAAGGGCTTCTCGCCGCTGTGGATGCGCTGGTGCTCCAGCAGCGCGAAGCTGCGCCGGAAGAGCTTCCCGCACTCGGGGCACTCGTACGGCTTCTCGCCGCTGTGGATGACCCGGTGCTTGATGAGGTTGGAGCTGCGGCTGAAGGATTTCCCACACTGCTGACATAGGTAACGCTTCTCCGTGCCTCTGGAACCCTGCTGCCTTCGAACTGACTCCTGCCAACCACTGGGGCTACTTCTCTGCCGCATCTCTCTTCCGTCCCCCAAGGAGCTGCTCTGACCTTTCTCCCCGGGGGGGTCAACCCCGCCGGAACCTGTCTGTGGAGAATGAGCACGTTCCGCTCCGCGCTCAAGCGTTTCCCCGGGTGGCCTGGCCACCTGGCTCTTGTTACCGGCCTGAAGATCGGTCCTTGTGAGTTCTTTGAGGCAATGCTTCTGCTTTGAAACCAATGTCCTGTTCTTTATCCTGTCACCTGTAAGGACAGAGAACACCCACCGGTGTCACTCGCCCTGGAACTCTATTTAGGGTTCCTTCTCCCTCCTCACGCCCACACCAAAGCTGACAAGGAATGAATCAGGAGATGAGGACGTGGGGGAAGGCACAATATGACTGTCCGCAGACAGGACGGCCAAAGGGGAAAAGGTGGGAATGAGCCCGGAGCAGTGGTGCCTCAACGGGGGGACTCCCTGTGAGATTTAAGTCTGCCACAAAGGGGAATTTCCCACCCACGGTGGTCACCCAGCCCTCCTTCGGCTGCTGCTCTTCGTGACCAGCTCAGGCGAGCCAGCCCAGCGCCCCACGCTCACCTTTCTGCATCCCCGCCGCGGCCCGTGTTCGGCAGGTGTCTGCTGCCCGGGGCCCCTCCCCTTGTTCCAGCCAGGAGACCAGGTGAGGCTTGGAGGATAAAAATCCTGCCCGTGGAAATGAAGCAGATCAGTCACTCTTGAACTCAGCCCAGCCTTAGCATCTTCGGCAACAGAGAACAAGGAACCCTCTAAGAGAGTGCCACCGGGAAGGTCCAGAGAAAGGACAGAGTCTCTTTGCGGAAGCAAAGGGATTTGAATGTCCAGGGGCCAGGTGGGCATGGGGAGTCCGCAGTCCATGGTGACCGGGGCCAAGAGGATAACGATGTTACTGTCTGGCCTGCTGGGAGGGCAGTAGGCTTGTGGGAAATGGAGCCGGGATCCACACGGGGCAAGGCCCCGGGGAGTATCAGGAAGCAGACAGAGCTGAGGAATGCCTGTGCCTCGAAAGCCAAAGCCCCGTTTCCATCATCAGACAGAACAGATGTCCCAGTTCCTTATGCCAAACTCAACTGACGATTCCAGAACTCCCCTTTGAGCCCTGGATCTGCGCAGTGAGGGTCAGAAACTAATCTCCCTCTGTGTGGTTAGATTAGGGAGATTAAATCTGCAGGGAAGAAATGGAGCAAGCAGGCCCCCTGCAAGCCCGCTGAAGCGGGGAAGCCTGCCCAGCTCCTTTCCGGATTTCTCCAGGCTGGAAAACCAAGTGCATGTCTTATCCTTGATACAAGGAAAAGGAGCAGCTAAACTCCGTAACATGAAATGAATGTACAAGTCAACCTCGATAAGAATGAATTAAGTCTACAACAGTGCATATAAATATTCAAGGATAATACGCATCTATCTTTTGGATAGAAGAGGTTTACTTCACCCATGATTTTATATGCAAAATAAATTTGATGGGGGCCCATGCATTTACCACTTACAGGTCAAAACCATTTTAGCTAAAAACTGTTCTACTGAGACAAAAGCTGGGCTCCAGCAGATTACTGCTCCGGTGGGAACATGCATTCATTCTTGGGCTCACAGTAACCAACAAACAAAGAAACTTGAAAATAAACTGAGTTCAGAGACAGAGTAGGGGGATGGGATGTGCATGTCAGATCCTTACCCAGTGACGCCAAATGGCGATAGTTCTCCAGCATCACTCTCTTGTAGAGGATCCTTTGTCTGAGGTCCAGAAGCTTCCATTCTGTCTTGGTGAAGTACACGGACACGTCTTCAAAAGATACTGGCACCTAAAACAAGCCATTCCTGTGGCTGCAGGGGACTTCACCGCCACGAGTCCCAGGATGAGCGGGCAGCAACTAAACACGGGGTGGGGGGACCCAGAGAACTCAGCAGTTAAGGGGAGACTTGGAGTTGCGAGAGTTGTGAGGCCGGGACATGAAGAGGTGGCAGATGGAGACAGGGAGCCCCACTCACCTTGGGTCTGGCCTTCAAGAGAATGGCGGCCATCGCAGGGGTGCAAAGAAGCTAAGGGGATTGGAAAAAGCCAAGTATGAGATGAGGCCCGCCCTACTCCAGCATGACCTCATCCAAGTTAGGTCCCGTTCACAGCTACTGGGGGACAGGACCTCAGCACAGCTTTCTGGGGGACACAAGCCAATCCATAACACTTTTCCAAACTGAGCTTCTGTCCTCTCTCCTCACCTGGGTGGTGGGCCACCAGACGGGGAGTCCTGCCCGCCTCGTACGAGGCTTGGCTTCCTCCTTCTCATTTCCTTCTTCCCATGGAGGCAGCACCCCCACCCCGACTTTCCAGCCATCCCTGGACGCTCCACCGCCAACTCCTTTTCCTCCCAGCTCAGGGTCCTAACAGAAAAAACTCCAGAAGACGCACGTGCGTGCACACACGCGCGCGCGCGCACACACACACACACACACACACACCACTCCACCTGAAATAGACCCGCTCTCAAGGAAAAGAGAAAGACCAGAGTAGTGAGATGCACTTTGGAGGGACCCACAATAGCTGGGGGAGGGGTGCCCTCTAAAGGAGTGACCTTCAGGCTGAGAGCTGAAGGCTGGGGGTGAGCAGGCTAAGGGCACGGCCCATATCTGGCCCTCGGATGGGCCCAAGCTCAGTGGTCATGGCGCTGAAACTGGGGGCAGGGTGGGGAGTGCAGAAGGTGAGGCCATGTGGGCACTCTGGGGACAGACAGGAGCTGGGGCTCACGCTAAGGGCAGGAAGAGCGTGTCACTGCCAAAGTGGACAGAATCAGATTTCGCCACATCAGTTCTCAAGACCAGAAAACAGTGAGGCAAAAGAAAGTTTGCTCCAAGGCTGTTATCACCACCCAGCTGGAGACCACAAGGTGGAATTCCCCCGTGGGGAAGCATAAGAACCAGGCGGTGGCTGGCAGGGGAGTGGGCCGTGAATGCTCATGCTGTCTGGGCGACCACAGCTTATTTCTGCTACAGGAGAGAGGGTGAGGGGACAGGGTCGCACAGTATTTAAACTGCGGCAAAGTCCCTTATCACCAGTGATGAGCTGTCCGTCAGCATTGGCCCAGAATCAATAAACTCATGTATCTGACGAAGAAATATATACTAATCAGATAGGAAGAATCCCTTAAGGTGCGATGGACACTAAAACCACTGGGTGAAAGACCATGTGATGTCAAAATGTCTTCCCCTATTTACTGCTGGTCACAAGACAGAAAGCTAACCTACCGGTTGGACAGACCTGGGACCCACCTGCTGTGGGGGTGCCACCAGGGGAAGCGTGCGAGGCTCTTGCCAAAGTTTGACCCCATTCTAATGCAGCCTTGGGAAACCACACCCAGTTTATTTATTTTTTTTAAAGATTTTATTTATTTATTCATGAGAGACAGAGAGAGAGAGAGAGAGAGAGGCAGAGGGAGAAGCAGGCTCCCAAGGAGCAGGGAGCCCGACGCGGGACTCGATCCCAGGACCCCGGGAT